TTGTAAGTCGGAGGAAAAATGAAAACCAAAGAGTTGGAAAATGACTTTTTTTGGCAGAATTTCATAATTTAACAACCAGATTTATAGAGGATGTTCCAGATAGGTAGGTTCTGGCTTGTCCTACCATCACAATTAGTATCAAGAAGTTTGATTAGTGTCTCTGTCATTTATTTTCTTTTTAAATTTTATATCCCACTTCTCACCATCTAGGTCTCAAAGCAGTAGTACATGTGGCAACCATTTTAGACATGTCCAATTGATATGTGGCTGCCAACATGTGGGTCCTTTTCTGGACCCAAAAGAGGGAAGAATGGGGATGGGGCAGGCTTATGTGTGTTCCACCAATGTGAGTGTTGACCCAGAATGCAACCCCCATGGCAGTGCTTTGTCTCTAGAATAAAAGGTGCCGGTACTCACCGTGAAGTTGTACAGTAAGTGTCACACTTTTTAACAACAACAAAAAGAGGTGCTGGTACTGCGTACCCTTGAGTACCGTCTGGGGGCACTGCCCCACGGAAACATTCAGTTGCCTTTACTTAGAACCACAGTTCTTTTGATTAACAAGTAAATGGGATGAATCTTATTTGAGCAGGTCATCAAAAGTTTCCAGTATATAGGCTTGGTTTATGTCATTCATTGGTTGCAGGAAATGTTCACTTGGTGTACTGTAACTGTATTTGTCATGTCCTCTTCCACTCCCTTCCCAGAAGTATCAAATAATGTTGGTATTTGGACAACATTTTTGGGTAGCATTATTGTAATTTAATGGAGTGCTTGTTTATATTTTATCCTTCGTGGCCTGGAAAAAAATACCCATTGCTTTATAAAAGATGTCTAAAAAGCAAAAGCTAACAATTATATGATTCTTGAAAGCCAAGAGTTTATGTTACTTCTATTTTCGTTTCCTTTTTGTTAACCAGCATGAAGACTAAGCCATTAGGGTATTGGTCTCTGAGCATGCATACATACATGAGCTAAATAATACTCTTCTTAAAACTTGGCTCCTCCTTGAAACCATGCAGTTGATTATATCTGACTTTTATCTATGATATAAAACAATGCTTAACTTATAAACCAGATACTTACCTCCTCTAAAACAAAAATATAAAATATCATTTGATTAGGAGGTATGTGGACTATAGAATAAACTAGTAATTTACTGAAAATACAGTGTTCTGCATTTGTTCTTTCACCAGAATTGCAAATATTTATATTTCTGTGGGTGAGTTACCAAACATAATTGCAGGGAGCAATTCAAAATGACATGCATAAAGTAGTACGAAAAAATGAAGTAAGCAGAATCATTGGATGCAGCTTCTGGGCCTTATTTTACCATCCATTCTTTTTCTTTGGTTTCTCAGTTCTTAGATTAAACTGGGATACAATCAATAATTCTTCTTTCTTTATAAGGCATCAAGAATTTGGTAGTAATGAGCACTCAGGTTTCTGATTTTCATCAGTGGAAGAACTCAGCCCCATGTACACAGTAGAATCTGTTTGTTTGTTTATCTATTTAGGGTTTGGTATCCCACTTTTCAGCTCAAACATGGAGATGCCCCAAAACAACTAGCAAAATATATAAACAATTTTAAAATGCAATAAAAATGCAATAAACTCTACAGAACTAATAAATAGCAAGGAAGCCAAAACTGGAAAAATGTTTAAGCAGAAAAATAATTAAAAGCACACTGGACAATAAAAGTATTTAAATGACAATAGAGCACTGGCAAAGTAGAAGATAACCTAACCTTCTCATGCAGTGAGGTCCACAGCCCCATTCACCCATCATGGTAAAACATAGTCTGGCTTACTGTGAATAAGCAGCATGTTAGTACACACTGCTCAGATTGTACGTGCCCCAGTTCTCCCTTGCTTCTAGGTAACTTGGTCCTAATTCATTACGGGATTTAAATCTCATTGAGGCGAACTGACAACAAATGCAACCAGTATAGCAAAGCAGCGAGAAGATCCTAAAATGTACCACCAGTCAAAATTTTAGCAACAGCATTTGTCACTAGTGGAACGTTTTGAACAATTTTCAGTGTCAGTTCTACATAAGGCATAATTACAGTAAAGGTAAAGGGACCCCTGAACATTAGGTACAGTCGTGGCCGACTCTGGGGTTGTGGCGCTCATCTCGCTTTATTGGCCGAGGGAGCCGGTGTACAGCTTCTGGATCATGTGGCCAGCATGACTAAGCTGCTTCTGGCGAACCAGAGCAGCACACGGAAACACTGTTTATTTTCCTGCCAGAGCGGTACCTATTTATCTACTTGCACTTTGATGTGCTTTCGAACTGCTAGGTTGGCAGGAGCTGGGACCGAGCAACAGGAGCTCACCCTGTCGCGGGGATTTGAAATAATTACAGTAGTCCAGTCTAAATGTAACTAGTGTGTATATGACTGTCGGCCAGGTTTGACTGCTCCCGGAGTTAGCACATTTGATGCACCAGCAAAAGCTGAAAAATATGTGCTAATGGACAGCTGCCTCTTGAGCATCAGAAAGCACCCCAAAGTTGTGAAGCTGTTTTTTTTTAAGGGAAATGCAACCATATAAAATCACAGTACCACCCAGTCATTAGGTCAGTGGCCTTACTACAAAGAACACTTCTGTATTGTTCTAATTATCTATCACTAGCCAAGGCAATGGCTCAGACCTATTACAGCCATCCAAGACTGGGATGGAAAGACTAAAGTATTATAGATCATGTAATGGTGAGTGAAGCAAAACCAATAATATTGAAAATAAAGGTCTCCTAACCTGTCATATAATTTCAGTATTTTCTTCAAGTTACGAAATAAAAATTGCTAAGGATGACTGAAGTATTAATCACAAGCCACTTAACTGTCTTGGGGAATTTGACATGGGATTTGAAGGAATAAACACTGAGATCATACATCCTTCACTTTTTTAAACAACCTCTGTTCCAGAAAGAACAGGCTTTATTTTCCATTACTGTCTACTGTACCCAGCACTGGAATGTTGTACAATGATATTTACATAGTTTCATGAGACATAGTAGCTCAGGGTAGCCAACCTGATCCCCTCTATATGTTGTTGGACTACAGTTCCCATCAGCCTCCACCAGCATGGCCAGTAGGAATGAGGGGAGTTTAAATCTGGGAACATCTGACGGCACCACTTTGGCTACCACTGCAGTAGCCAATCCATATAATACCATACCAATACAGTTCACCAAATATGAGAGAAAGGTCTGGCAAATGGTAAGGTAAATAGAAAGGATGGAAGAATTACAAAGGAGACCATGGAATTTTTTTCTGAGCTATACTTTCATCAGAATGGAGTGTTCTGTTTGCTTATGTTGAAAAGACAATATCCATAAAAGATGTGCAGTTAACATCTTCCCGATAATTGATTTGTTCTATTACAGTTACATTTCCATGCAGCCAAATTCATTTTCCAGTCCAGTAATCTGGTTGCAAATACCTCCGATCATTACTAATATCCTAACTTTCCCTCAGTACTCGAGATTTTAGCATTATACACTCTAGTAACCCTCATCACCAGTTCCCTTTTAGTCCCCATTCATCCCAATTATTCAAGTTATTCCAGCTAGGCTGTGGTTCCAAATCTTCCCATTATCCAGCTGCTATTAGTACTGTACAGTGCTCAAGTAATTGTACTAACCAATATGAAGACAATATGTATTTTGAAAATACTTTATTATAGTATTGAAAACAGTTATAATTACTAATACTATAATTATTATAGTATTGAAAGCAGTTATAATTACTAATATTCCTTATATAGTATGAAAATGGCTATCAAACAATAGTACTTTCAAAGCTAAAAATACACGTTATGATTTGATTAGATTTTTTATGTTATTTATCTTACCAAAGATACATCTGTGTATATATGTGTGTGTATATATGTGTGTGTCTGTGTGCATATATATGCACATAATTGCAAGCACATGTATTATGCATGTTATTGGCCCATGAATATGCTACCCGCTCCATGTATGTTTCCTGGAAAACACATATGTTATATATAATATTTGAGCAATATTATACCATTCTGTAAAAGTGCATAACATGTAAGAGAACATGTAATAAAATCTTGATAGAATAACTTGAAAACGTTATAAGAATTACGAAAAGACCAAAAATATATCACTTACCAAGGCACCTTTTGTTTTACTTTAGATCTGGGGTGAGGAGCCTGTTGTTTTCCAAATGTTGTTGAACTCCCATCAGCCCCAACTAGCATGGCAAATGGTCAGGAATGATGGGAGTTGCAGTCTAGCAACAACTGGAGAGCCACAGTTGTGATCTAATAATTCAGATTAGGGGTAAAAATATTTCTCAAGAGGATTACATATTAGCAGATATTGAGTCATATTTTTGACCACAAAGATGCTTAAAGGCACAAATAAGAGAGAGAAAAGGTCACAAATCTTATTGTATCTTAAGCAAGTATACAAAACATTTTATTTCCCACCTTTTACTTATCACATTGTCAGATTCCTGGGTCATGACCATTAGCTTACTTTTGGACTGGTGTGTTTTGCAGTAAAATATCATGTGTCATGAAGTCTGGCAAAGTATCCATGCTGCATAATGGAGCAAGCAGGTAATGCAAAATGCTAGCTGGCAGGGGGTAGCGTAAAATCAGAGTTCCTGCTCCTACACCTTGTTTTAATTTCCCTCAGTTCTTAGTGGCTCTTTGAATAGTGAGAGCATGTTATTGAAACAAAGGGATGGTGGCATGATATACATTTTGTGACCAGACTCTAGAGTCACCTCTTCTTTTCAGGGACAACAGCCATTCAGTTCATGATTGTGGAAGAAGCCTCCAAATTTAGAAAAAGCTGTTGTCCGTCAAAATCTTTTTAGAACATGTACACATGATGATTTCAGCAGCGGCTTCCGCAGCTGGAACTAAGAATGTTTACAGTGGAACAACTGTATCATCCTATGTCTGCTTTCCATGGTTTCAAGTTTTTATCTGGAATGTGAATTATTGGGGAAAGCCATCCAGCCGCTACATCTCAGGCATGTAATTCATTTTTGTCACCACCTCAATTAACACAGATTTGTTAGGAGGTGGATTTTCCAATTTTTCTTGTTTTCATTGAACATACTTTGGATTGCATCAGGCAACTATGAGTGCAGTGTTTTTTTTTAGTACTTGTTCTATTTCTTTGAAATATTTGTTAGTGTTCACAGTTCCATGAAATCTTTAATACTGTGATGTGAACTAGCATGGAATTACTTTCTGTGGGGAATTTTGCCTTTTAATTTGCTAATGATGCAAGCAAAAATTGCATATCATTAGTGCATGACAAAGACGTCAGCTTGCATTGACCTTTGATGATAAATGCAAGTTGCATAGCTTTTGATTATGCCTCAAATAGCACACATCTATATGAAGAAAGCTTCTCTATCCTCTGCTTCTTTAGCACACCACATAATGGTCAGGATGCATCAAACAGTGAAGAGGCTGTAGCTCAGAGGTGTATCATATGCTTAGCATATGCCATCTTCAGTTAGAAGTATCTCAGGTTGGAGAGCCTTTGCTAGTCTGAACAAGCAACACTAGGCTACACAGCGCAGTATAAGGCAGATTCATATGTTCATGAGCTAGAGTCACTTGTCAATTCTGTCCTTTTTAAGATCCTATCCATAAGCAACATGCCATTTCCTCATGTTATTTGATACTATTTTAAATCTGCAAAGTGTTGTACCGTTTCTAAGTTTGCTCTGAGCGTAATCTATTTGACATGTTTGCAACACTGTCTGCAAGTAGAGGTAATAGATGACAATTGTACTATGAGAAGTGTGGGTGGTAAGCAACTGTGATAGAGGCAACTCTGCCTATTATTTTGAAACAATTTTTATCCTGCTCCCAAGCAATCTGGTCTCAAGAGGAACTAGGGCAGACTATGCCATTCCTTTGCTACATGTTTTCTATGCTTGTATATTATGGAGCCACTGCTTTCCCTGCTTTGGAGCTTATTGCTAGTGTACTGCTTTGGAACATGTGCCTGTTTTCAAGCAGGTATTATTTTTGCATGAACTAAATGCCATCACATATTCTCCTAGAACAAAGGAAGCTGCCTTGTGCTGAATAAGTCCATGTAACTCAGTACTGTCTACATGGACTAGCAGCAGCTCTTCAGACATGGGACATGTCCAGCTCTACCAAAAGATGCCAGTGATTGAAACTGAGACCTTCTGCATCTGCAAAGCAGAAGTTCTCCCTTATTGTGGTATTATAGTAGACTATTGCTACGTTCTCAGACACAGCTGTCACTGTATTAATGAAAGTCCCTCTCCCAGCTCTGGTTCATGCCTCCTTCACTCCTTAAAGGAATAGACTGTGCTTGCAACTACAAGACTTCCTTGCTCCTTGAGCTTTTCAGTAACATGGCTTAGTGAGATGTGTTACTCAAATAATGAGTTGTGTGATGTATTGATTTGTATTTCATTGTTTGTTTTTTTAAATTGCAGTTCCCATGAGCAACCTACAGCACAGGTTAGCATTAATGCCATGTATGAAGAGGCCCCAAATGTTCTACATTTGGTACTGTCTTAATTTATATGTGCATTTTACAGTATTTTCTTAATTTGAAATGCAATTCCAAACACACACACACAGCCCTCCCCTGTCTGTAGGGTTATAATTCATTGCATTGAAAATATTTATCAAGTCAACTTTTTGAGGAAAATCAGGTCAATGAAGTTCAATAATCCTTCTTGTACTCACTTATCACATTGGTATGCAATATTTATCTTACTAGAAGTGAAAATAGGCTGCAAGTATAATATTTCTAGGCACGTACATGGTCAGCTTCCTGGAGATATTCCTACAATTATACCTCACCCTTCATTAATAATAAATAATACTGTTAAATAATAGTGCTGAGGCACCTTTCATAATTTGTGCTTTGGTTTTCTTGCTTGTGGCGAACAAATATTCTAATTATAGTATTTACATGCAAAAACAGTTCTTTTATTTGCTCTTCTGAGGTTTCAGAATCACACTAGAATATGATCTGACACATGAAAAAGCATATGGTGAAAGTTCCCTTGTATTGATGTAATTATATTCAAGATGAAGGTGTTCTAATTGTGAATCTTCATAATCATGATTCTCTTCACTGTCATCATCTTCCTCCTCCTCCTCCTCCTCTTCCTCATTATCCGACCTACTCCTACAGATGCGCTCAGTAGGGACTGTTCTGTAAAACCATATATGAAATAGTTAAAGGGGATTAACTATTACATTTTGCTAGCAAATTTCCTTTCTCTTTGCAGCTCATTTTCAAGATGGAAACTATTGTAAAAAGTGTGAAAAAACAGAGCTGTATCCAGAATTTTTCATTTTATGGGTCCCCAGATATTCTGCTTAGGCATATTATAACCCACTACCATGTTGCTTTTACATGCTCAGGCCATGTAAACCTGTTTGGAAATAAGGTGATATAAATCTAATATATGCAGTGATTTATTCAATGACCTTCTACAATTGTGGGCTTTGTGAAGAATGTATCTGAGCATTTCCTACTGCTGTTTGCCATCTTCATATGGAAAAGAAAATGAAAAAAGACTTAGTGGGAGCATGCTATTTTCTTTCTGCTGTAGTCTGATGTTCAACCACTGTAATTTTTAATGTCCTAAGTGCATGTCAGGCACCATCCTTAGATTGTTAAGGAAAGTTTGGTTTGAAGAATGTGGTAAGCTTATTTACACTTCACTGTGGAATTATCAGATGACTACTGCTCAGCAACAACTAGTTAGAACAAAAGAAGAGCCTTGCCATATTTGATCAAAGGCCTATCTAGTTCAGCATTTGTTTCCCTCAGTACCCATCCAGGGTAAACAGTAGGAAGGCAACATCCCTCCTCATGGCTTTCCCTCCAGCAGCTGCAATTCAGAGATATACTGCATCTGAATGTGGATATTCAATCTTGCCATCGGGGTTAATTGTGGTTCATAAAATCAGTCTTCCACAAAGTCATCTAGTAGGGGGCTTCAGAGTTTGAGTGACCATTGGTCTGGAAGTGAAACAGGACCACCTAAAATGTGGCATCCCAATTATTGGTATCAGTATGACCTATTGAATCAACAATGTCTTGCACTAGTGGCCTCAAAGATTCAGTTAAAGAAGTAAGCAAGAATTCCATAAACCATGATTTGCTGTGTTTGAACATTTATAATAGAAAGCCAGTATAACATTATTGCATTTACAATTAAGATGTGTATTTATTTACCTTATTTTGTTATTGTTGAGCCTCAGAAAATTTAAGGATCTCATTTCTGCAATTCCAAGTGGTACAGACTTCAGCTGGTTGTGATCTAAGAAGACTTCTCTTAGAGAGTGATATGCCCCATAGAATGACACAGGATCAATTCCCTCATCATCAAGTTTGTTAAATGAAAGGTACAGGTATTCCAGCCCTGGCCTCATGTGTCCAAATACAAATCCTGGGATTCTGTCAATTTGGTTGCCTATAAGCACAAGGTGCACCAATGACTTTGGCAGATAGGAGGGAACATGATATATACTATTGTAAGAAAGATCAATAGATTCCAGGTTCCTAAAATAAAGTGAAAATATATTAAAAAGTAAGAGCATAAAGTAACTAATTTTGTCTTCATACGTAACATGCATTTTAAGAGTTCAGGAAGATTGGAAGCGTACAGTCTTATCTATTTTTCTGGAAACTATTTGGGGAATATTTGTACCATATGTTGTTCTGCTCTAAAACTCCAACTCCCGTCATTTCTAGTTTGTAGGACGAGTGGTCAGGGATGGTTGGAGTTGTCGTCTAACCACATCTGGGGACCCAAGGTTAAGAAAGGCTGCTTTAACCACTTACACCACACTGGCAGTACTTCTTTCTATCTTCCTAACCATGCATGGGCATTTTTACAGGTACAAGGCGGAGATGTGCTGCCATCCTGCTTTCTAGTCATAAAGAGTTAGCAGGCTATAAGGAGAAATGGTGAATTATTTGAGTTGCCTGACAGCAGCTCTTCTTTGTCATAGCAACTGGTAGTTTTCAGCCTGCAGTACGTTCTACTCTGCATTAATTAATAAAAGGGCAGGACTGTAAAAAGTCAAAAGGCATATCTCAGCTCACCAAAACAAATTCATACTAAAGAGAACTTTTTTCCTACCACCTACTCTTTTCCCATAGCTATTGTCCAAACATGTTTACATAACTGTCGCTATCCAGGATCTGACAGATTGCTCAAGTCTGTATAAGAAAAAGAATAATAACTATGGTCACATTCATAGGCCAAACCTTCAATTTAATTTTCATCTCTTCCATTAGTTCAGGACATCTGTGCTAAAGTACTCTTTTGGAGTTAAAACCACTCTCCCCACACTCAGTTATCTCACTAGTCAAGGTTTTTTTAATACAATTTGTAATACTTGACACATCAGAAATCTCAAGTGTTCAAATGCATTTCCCTTTGAAGGAAGAAACAATACAGTGGTACCTCGGGTTACATACGCTTCAGGTTACAGACTCTGCTAACCCAGAAATAGTGCTTCAGGTTAAGAACTTTGCTCCAGGATGAGAACAGAAATCAGGCTCCAGCGGCAGCAGTAGGAGGCTCCATTAGCTAAAGTGGTGCTTCAGGTTAAGAACAATTTCAGGTTAAGTACGGACCTCTGGAATGAATTAAGTACTTAACCCGAGGTACCACTGTATATATTATTGCCAGGATGATAGTATTATCTATCTCCATTCCAGAATCCTGGCCTATGAACTTGGATTGAAATGTTTTAATTGGTCAGTAGTTTTATTGTTGGATTATATGAATCTCTGTTGTATATGATCAGAGGCATTTTTGCACAAAAAGCAGTAAAAAAGTAATAATAATAATAATAATAATTTATTTATACCCTGCCCATCTGGCTGGGTTTTCCCAGCCACTCTGGGTGGCTTCCAACAAAATATAAAAATACAATAGTCTATTAAACATTAAAAGCTTCCCTAAACAGGGCTGCCTTCAGATGTCTTCCAAAAGTCTAGTAGTTGTTTTTCTCTTTGACATCTGGTGGGAGAGCGTTCCGCAGGGCGGGTGCCACTACCAAGAAGGCCCTCTGTCTGGTTCCCGGTAACTTGGCTTCTCACAGCGAGGGAACCGCCAGAAGGCCCTAAGCACAGGACCTCAGTGTCCAGGCAAAACGATGGGGGTGGAGACGCTCCTTCAGGTATACTGGACCGAAGTCATTTATTTATTTATTTATAAATAAATGCTACCTGTGTGCTCTCTTCCTGCCCGTCTTAACTGTACCCATAGTTCCTTAGTTTTCTATTTTAAAAGGTAACATATTAGCATAATGTTTACTTAATAGCCACATCCTTTAATTGGACATTTTCCTCCAGACATGGGGATTCTACTATCTACTGAGATAGATTGGTAGAATGTAACCTGCTTACAGTTACACCAAGAATAAAAAACCACAAGAGTTCAGGATTAAAATACGTCTCTCTTCAGAGGAAGATGCTTCTGGTGTTTATAATTTTGCTTTAAGTAAACTAGACACCTGTGTGGTATATGTTGTCAGAATCCAAAAATAAGCTCGCCTGGGGAGTTTGGAAGAGTTTGATATTTTTTTAAGGTGACAGTTTTCTGGGTCAGAGGTCTACAAATTCATTTGCCATGCTGCTATCATGATCATTGTTAGCCCTCTCCACTCCCCAGTAGTTCACTAAGAGCAGAGCAATCTGGAGAGAAAGGGTCGGGAAATAAAATTGTCCTGAAGACAGAACAGTGTAAGGGACTTGTTCTGTTCTTTGGAAATTCTGTGCAAAGGATTTTCTCTTTGGATGTTTAGAAGGAAATACACAAAGTCCTTCCATTATGTTAGAAAGAGTCTTTTGTGAAGTTACTTATATCCCACATCACATCAATTAATTGAGAAATGTATTTGCACTGAAGCCATCTTCCTCCAAAGCTCTGGGCAAAGTGATGAAAAATACCCTAGTACCCTGTACTGTGATAGTAGACTGGGGGGTGGGACATTGGAGTTAGTTTCAAATTGCCCTGAACTTTCTACAGGAAGCAGAAGCAGCATGTCTGTCTCTCACTGCTCTGTCTTCTCCAAAAGTAAGCGCGGTAAGAAGACCACACTCTTCTCTCCCAAGTTCTCTTTGTATACCAGCAACTAGTTGGTTAATATGCCAAGAAAAACATTTGTGGAACCTTCATCTTCTATGTAGTACAACTTCTTTATTCTATACTTTAATTAATTAAATGTTTTGATTGGAAAATAACACAAAGTTTACACTTACTCATGATTGATCCATGCCAAAGGAGCTATTCTGCTTTCTTCTAATTTGTTGTGCCTCAGAACAATTGTGTTTATATTTCTGGTATGATTAAAGCAAACTTCTGTAATTTCTTCAATTTGGTTATTATCGAGATATAATTCCTATTTAGAATGCATGGTAAAAGAAGGAAATATGTGAAAAGTGTATTGTATAATACATTAAAGTGGTTATTTTAAAATGTAGAATATGTGGCGTAAAGCTGCTTTACTTATTTTACAAAAGTGGCAACAAAGTTGTTCCTTGTTTCCAGACAAAGTTAGTTAAGAGGCATTAGTTCCAAATGAAAGGGGAAGCCCAAGTTCCCCCTTCATATGTTGCACGGGTTGTGTGATTGAGTACTGCATCTGTTTTCCCCATGTCCCTAAACCTGCCCTTGGACTGCAATCCTGACTCATTGCTTTTGAAATTATTGGCAATTACCAATGAGTAAGCTTGCCCAGGATCAAAGCTTAAGGTTTCCTCCAATCTCACAGTATTTTGTGCCATGGGGGGATGGGGGATATGAGATTCTTGCACATGCCAGGAAATTTAAAGTTCTCTGTTGCTCTGGTGCAACAAATTCACTTTTAAAAAATGAGGTTTTGCTATTAGGAAAGTGATGGAAAATGCATTTAAAAGTATGGAACAAACAAGTGATTAGCAGGACAACATATTAATGCCGCACAAGCATATCAGGATGAATGTTGATTGTCATATACCTGCCTCACAAACAAATCAGAAGGAATGCTAAACCTAACCTCTACAGTAAGCCTTGTGTAAGCAAATCAGGATAGGTCACCTAGAGGAGCCCTGACTATTATGGAAAAGGAAACCAATCATCTTTTTTATTTTAAAAAAACCTTACCTCAATAGAACTGGGAAGGCGCTGTGGAATGGTCCTAAATTTATTCCGTCCAAGGCGCAAATAAGACAGGCTCTTTAAAGGTTGAAAGGCTAGTGGACTAACATTAGCTTCATTGAGTTTATTGCCTTCTAATTCCAGTGTCACCAACTTTTCTAAACCTTTAGAAAATAAAGCAATCATGATGAAATGTTTGTGCTCATCCAGTAAGATTCAGGGCAAAAAAAGAATCTGCATATTGGTATTTCATATTCTAACCAATTTCTCTCCTCATTGACCTATGCCTCCAGAATATCAGAGAGAAATTTTAATCCTAATGTTATTTAATAATAGCAGGAGAACTTCATGTTTATTTGAATACAATTTATAATTCTCCACACTTGTTTGTTGGTTCACTAAGACACAACTATGATTATAGTAAATTTAAATAAATTAGGAATAAATATAATACACGAGAATTATAGAATACACTATTTTTTTATTCTAGTTTTCAAGTAGAAACCACATGCATTGAAAATATAACTGTGCCTTGTTCTGAGTCTGATAAGCAAATTTATTTTTTACCCTTTGTGCTATGATTCAAATAAAAGTTCCTGTCCTTCATAAGGAGGATCTCTCATCCTCTTCTCCCATTTCTATCTCCTGTTGTGAGAAACAGGGGAGCCTCAGGTCTTCCCGGATCTTCTGCAGTCCTTCTTGGGCCAGGGGAGGTTCATCCCATAGCAGCACTTTAGGGTGCCCCCAAGAAGGTACTTAATTTCACAAAGGTGGCATCTGGATATTGCAAATGAGTCATTGGCAACAGACTTTTAAAACTAACCAGATTCTCTGTTATCAGCAACTAATGCCTTAGAAGATATTTGGTCTTAAAAAAGAAGATATGTATTTTGAACAATTTTTAAGTAGCAAAATGAACATAATGTGTATTATTTTGCATTCCAAGCTATAAACAAATTTTGAGAGAAATACTGTTCTGTTCATACTGCTTTTCAGCATTAAGAGCTAGATCAGTTCACATTCTGAACCGGGTAATTTACGTGTTTTAGCCACACCAGTACACAATTTCTTTTTGTAAACTTTGTTTTGAGGTTTTTCTTACAATCAGCAGTATATATTTTATGAAATAAATAAATAATGTATTGACTTCCAGTATTTTTAGACTGACTTTCAGTCTAAAGGCAGCTTACATACATTTCTATAAAGGTAAAGGGACCCCTGACTGTTAGGTCCAGTCGCGAACGACTGGAGCCAGCGAACAGCTTCCGGGTCATGTGGCCAGCATGACTAAGCCGCTTCTGGCAAACCAGAACAACACATGGAAACGCCATTTACCTTCTCGTCAGAGCGGTACCTATTTATCAACTTGCACTTTGATGTGCTTTCAAACTGCTAGGTTGGCAGGAGCAGGGACCAAGCAATGGGAGCTCACCCTGTCGTGGGGATTCAAACCGCTGACCTTCCTGATCGGCAAGCCCTAGGCTCTGTGGTTTAGACCACAGCGCCACCTGCGTTCTATAGAGTAGGTGGAATTAAAAAGAGTATGTAACTGTCAGGGAACTGCCATCGGAAGGACAGGAGGTAGAAGGGCTCCCTGAGGTTGAGACAGACTTAACAGCTGAAGAGGGAACCAGCAGGGGGAGAGGAGGGGCTCCAGGGGAAAGTGAGTCGGAGGGATGGCTCAGAGACACTTCCAGCGAAAACAGTGGGGAGGTTTCAATACCTCCTATAGGGACACCCACTCCTCGCCAGAAACTGTCACGCCGAGAGTCCAGAAGACGTGTTTCCGTTAAGGAGCTTTTATGCTGGAAGAGATTCCGTAAGAGACCACTTTCGGATTCTGCTAGCGACTGACGGAGCCATGCTGGAGGGGCTCCGTCGTAGGCAGAGGTTTGAGGACTTGACCAAACTCTGAGGGACTTGCATTTTACGCACAAGCAGCTCATCATCCCATTACAGTAACCTAGTATCTCTCCTCTAGGCAGATTACTGGGTAAAAATCAAGGCTACAGCTACATTCTTATGCATCTGAGTAGAGGGCTGTTGTCCCTCTTGTAAAGCGTGTAGCTAAGTACTGGAAAAACAACTTTGTGCACAATCAGATCTGTCAGTGTGATATAACAAAGAGTGCAGTTCCCGTGTTTAAAAATATATGTACATGATCCACTCCAAGTGTCTCTGGGAATTGTTGTTATATCTTTTATTTCTATACCGCTTTATATTTTAAAGAAAAATATGCATTCTTCGAGACATAAAACTTGCTGACAGCAGTTCTAATGATGGCTGTTTCTGTAGAAGATTTGGCAAATGCACAACCATTATCAATTTGCATGACACATATAATTTGTCACTTAGGAGCTGTCGCCAAGTACAAGAATGTCTATGCAATTGTAGTGTTAAAATGTATTCTTATTCATAGTTACTAAACGAAAAAATTGTAGGATGCATTTTTAAATAATATGGAAGTTGTTGTTCCACCTACTTTTGTTCCACCTACTTTTTTTCTTGCCATGAATTTGTAAGCTTTTATTACCTTAGTCATCTGCATTCATAGTTACAATATACCTTCAAAGCTGTATTCATCAATTGCATGTAGTTGGTTTTCGTTTATTTTAAGTTCTTCTAAAGTTGAAGGCAAACCAATCGGAATATGTACTAGTGCATTTCCATCCAAATATAAACGTTGCAAATTCTTCAATATCTGTGTTGGGGAAGATACAAATTGAGAAATCAAATTAACTTTGATTTTTAAGCTTTAAAATATTTTTTTCTAGAACTGTTTGCTTTAGGTTCATGTGTGCTTTATGAATATTACTGTATGTGGCCTGCGTTGGCTACACTAGCACATGGGGAATTTAAAATTAAATTGAAGCCACTAATTTTCATCTCTCTAACCTGTGAAAGTAGTAATTCTCACAAAATATCCCCCGATCTCACTTTGTTCTGTCAATGATTTCATTATTGATTGCAGTTGTGAAGAGTTACAGAGTATTCATTAATGTACTCTCATGGATTCTTTGACAAACAATTTCAGCAAAACAGCCATTTCTATACATTCACACACACACACACACACACACACACACAGAGAGAGAGAGAGAGAGAGAGAGAGAGACAGAGAGAGAATTAAAAAACCCTATATTTTCTTACTTTAAATGCCCGTGGACCTATGCCAGATGATGTGATATTATTTCTACGAAGATCAATCCTTTCCAAATTGGGAATCCCATTAAAAGCTTCATCTGGGATGGAAGTTATAGTATTACCTAGGAAAAGGAAAGGTGTGTAATAGCAATAGGAATTTTAAGACTCACTTCCATTTCTTAATCATTTTCCATTTCCCTTATGGTTTTATCACACAGATGCTTAGTACCATATTTAGTGTCAAGTAAACATTACGATGTCTCCATATTGCTTCTTCATAAACCAACAAAGCAAGGATTTTGATATAGCCAAGCAATGAATATCAAAACTTACATCACATTGTCCCTTCCCTCCTCCAATTTTTACAATGAGAACATTGGACATTAGTTGTCCGGTGCAAACAGAAATAGTAGAGCTAACATTAACGTGGGATGCATTTGAAAATTATTATAATAAACAGGTCAGTTTTTTCCTTACCTACAAGCTCTATGCTTGTAAGCTCTGCATCCATGATTGGTGGTATTTGTTTGAGTTTGGCATTAACACAGCTGATTGTGTTGTCCAGGATGGAGCATCCGGTTGGCAAAGCAGGCACTTCAGTAGAAGGCTCAGGAATTGGGAAACGAGGCGGCATTCTGAATACATCACCACGCAAAACATCTTCCTCCTCTTTTTCTTCTTCCTCACTTCCTTCAGGTTGTTCACTTTCTTCTTCATTTTCTTCTTCCTCTTTCTTGAGTCCTTTTTCTATTCTTAACTCTTCTTCTTCATATGCTCTTCTCCTTTCTTCTGCTGCTCTCATCTTCTCATCTTCCCTTTGATCCTTTGTGTGTCCATGTTTTTCCTTCTGTTCGTGGCTTTTTCTTCTTTGCTGGGTCTCTTTATCTTTTATAGTAATTTCTTTCTTTTCAAGCCGTTTCCCCTTCTTTTCAGCATTTTGATCTTGTGTTTGTCGGTTGTACAAGACTGGATCAGTATGGTCATTGGGCTCTAGATTATCACCAGAAAATTCAGATGTGTCACCTAGTGAAATAGTACTTAGCTCTGAAAGCAAGGAGGTCATGGTGTTGAAAGTGGACAGTCGATACCAATATAAAGAAAAATGATAACACAGTTTTTAGTAGCAAGCATTAATATATATGGGCTTGAAGAGAATAATTATTCTATTATAGTGAAGAATATTAATAAAATACAGTATTGTGCATAAAATCCCTAAGATAAGAAAATTACAGTGGTTTTGCTGGTGCGTTTTTTGTATGTTTACGCACATACATACATATATACAGACTGAGTTAAGGTGTCTGGTAATTTTACCTAAACACTTTTTAGTTCTGTGTCTTGAAATCCTATCTTAAATCTTTGAACTAGTTGTTAGCTTATGACATTAATATTGAAGTCTTAAACAAGATTTATTTATTTTTTACAAAATCTTATCATATATTTGTTCCTTGTTTGAATATATAAATTTTAGACAAGGATGTTGAATTAATGGATTGGTTGATTATCTGTTGTGACTCACAAATTCAATAATGGGATTTTCCCTAAATGGTGGTATTTGTGAAGTATAATATGTTGAGCTACATTCTAGTGAGTGCAACTGGTGACTGCAAACAAAAAAAGTTGGGAAAGATGAAGACCTTTGCCATAATGACAGCTAAACTGGCCCAAGAACTTAGTCATCTAGATCAGTGTTTCCCAACCTTGGGCCTCCAGCTGTTTTGAACTACAATTCCCATCATCCCTGACCACTGGTCTTGCTAGCTAGGGATGATGGGAGTTGTAGTCCAAAAACAGCTGGAGGCCCAAGGTTGGGAAACACTGATCTAGATGATGTAATTCAATTCAATATCTGAGGATAAGGTAGCATTTAGGTTGCCCTTTTCAACAGTAGTGCCAATGGCTATACAATTTTCCAGTTATTAACTCAAAATCATGAAGGAAAAATTCAAATGCAAAATGTATATTATCCTGCTTTGTTTCCCACCTTTGATTTAATGGCAGCATGTGCTTACACATTGGCAATGTTTGGACACGTCACTAAACCATAAACTATTATGAAATTAGTTTATGCATGAGCTATGTGCTACTACATGCAGCTTGAGCTTTCCTGCTTTGCTTCTCCCTTCCTCCAGTAGGAAAACGCAAGCACAGAGTGGGTGATGTAGTATTACATCAGAGCCAGTGTCCATGGTTTATTTCCCTCTAAGCAAACCAAGATAAACCAAACCAAGGTTTATTCTAGGCATCCTGATCAATGTTTGCTTGGGAGAAACAAACCACAAATCCTGGTTCAGATATAACGTTAAGTCAGCTGCTTTGTGGTTTGTTTCCTCACTGGAGGCAGGGAGGGAGGAGGAAAGCAGGCAGATCTGTTCATGGGCTTCTGGCTCAGTTAAGTTTATGCAGATTTGCTGTTCATGTCTGCTGACATTTCCATATGGGTAAGAGTGTCTGTGTTGGCCTAGTTGCTGCACTGACAGGGTCAAAAAAAGATGCCACCATCATCATGGACAATCAGGACAGCAATAGATATCCCCAGTGGAAATGCCTGTGTACATACAGCCTACCATAATCTATGCAAATACTAAAAGGTTAATGAATAATTCCTAATTTCATTGCCTTTTAGCAGTTGCACATATTCAAAGGATTACATTACTTACACTAAATTGTATCCTGTATATATACTGTGTGTCTGAAGTATGCAAAAAAATCAATATACTGTACCAATATCCATACACACTGGGCAACACTCTCCTTCAGGTATCTTGGTATTGTGACACGTCAGAGGATGGCACAAGGTTTCATCACACAACACCTTTCCTTTTGAGCAGAGGCACGTAACACAGGGTTTAGGAGACCACACAGACTTATCATACATAATCATCCCATTTGCAAAACATTTATTTTCTTTTCCTGATAAATGGAAAACAAAAGCAAGTTTTAAAATTGGTATAAAATGTATTGGTAAATTAAAACATTTGGTGGGTTGGTTTTCCAGATACCCAACTTCATACAAATCTCTGTGGGGGCTCTAGTGTATGCATGAGCAAAGACTCCCCAGCCAAATCAATGTTGAAAACAACTGTGCATGGACAAGAAGGATGCTACACACCATCCTTGGTATGTATCCAACATGGGAGCTACAGCGTGGTGTCAGACTAGGTCTCGGGGAGACCCATGATCAAATCCCCACTCAACCATGAAGCTCACTGAATAACCTCAAGCTGGATAACGTCAAGCTAACCACTATTTCTTACCCTAGCACACAACAAAGGGTTTTTACAAGAGTAAAGGTTTATGTGTAAAGTACCATGTAAACTGCATTCAGCTCTTCGAAGAAGGACTATTATAAATTAAAGAAAGAAATAATAAAGAATTGGATGATGTAATTGAGGGGTCATGTTCTGTCTTAGGAGAGCCATGTAAATTATACTTTTTGTTAATATCTTTAATATAGAAATATTTTTAATTTAGATATAGTTGACAAAAAGATTGTGTGGTTGTAGCCACCTGTCTATCCAGGTGGTTTGATTACCAAATATGGATTGCATTATTTTATATCAAAATAAGTTCTATTTAACATTGTAAGGAGGTTTGTTATCACATAGATAGTAACTCTAAATCTATAACCCTACCCTCTACAGTTAATTGGTCTTATTACATTATTGAGATTTACATGTAGGCTTTGTTTTTGATCACCTAAATTTTAAATTAGTGTAAATGTTTGTCTGAGTATACTCTGCTACAGAAATAGACTTACTTGGCCTTCTACACTGCCTGTTAACCTCTGTTGATCAACAATCCAAGTCCTTAGTCTAAAAAAGCTAGCTAAACTCAAGAGAGGTCCACAATATGCCAACAGAAATTAGCAACTCCATCCACAAAATAGTAAATGAAAAGTTTTATTTCAGCAAGCTTTTGCAGAATTTCATTTTTCTGCTTCTTTAATACGTCTAGTGTTTAGATTGTTTTTACTGATGCTACTGTGTGTTTTTTCTTGTTTATATGGTATAGTTTGCAATCCTGGTAGCTTGGGCTTCAGGTACTACAGTAGAAAGCATTTTACAGGCGCATAATCAGTTTTGCCATTCAAAACAGGGTGGGTAGTGGTCATTCCTAAAAATCTAAAAGGAAATGCACTACTTTCCAAGCACCTGATGTTAATCCTCATCCAACAGTTGAGAAATACAAGATTAGGACTTAATTTCATATGATAATAGTTGACAACCCTAACAAAGCTTGCTTGGTTGTTTTCATATATCAGACATGTGTCTCAGAAGTTACTTGCTACCTTACAGTACACCTACTTTGTCCAGTATAGAGCTGGAGTTATTAATCAGTTGTTCTCCAGCTGTTGTGGGTCTCCAATTCCCTAGCATGGCCTAGCACGTGCTAGGGACTTGGAGTGTTTCCGGCCTCTGCAGCCACAGCAAGCCCTGTGATTCTCCAGCAGTTTGACTTCACCCCCAGAGGCACACTCCATTGTCTCTTGAGACAGGCAGATGCCAACAATCAGGAGATTCATAGTCTAGCAACATATGAAAGACCAAAGGTTAGCCACCATGCCTTAATTATAGTTAAGGATCAGGTACCAGCCCTTACATGCAAGACGTCCTTATCGCCATCAGACAGAAGTAGGAAAGCTACTTACAGGGGTCACTGATGGTTTTCAGAGTGGAGTGTTAAGGCTTGCTAATTGCTAAGCCACCATCAATTCTGATTGTAGGACTAGGCTAGGAAGAGGGGTAATGGAACAGAGAGTATCACTAGTTCAATTGAAAAAGCTTGCTTGTAGTCTACACTCTACATATATATTATTAAAATGTGAATCATGAAAAGAAAACACAAAAGAAGATTTTAAGAAAGAAAGATATGGAGTTCTCCTAAAGCCAGTGATGCTTATGATCTTTCTTTAAAAAAAAAAATATGGACATAAGATTGATTATAGGATCTGTTGTTGAATAGGCTTCTTTCCAAATCTGACCTTAACTTGTATTCTAAATACTAGACTAGAAAAATACCTTGTGGTTTAAATCATTGGCAGATATATCAATGCCTTCAACCTTTGGAAATATGGTACAGATCCAATATTCCAGCTAAAATGTCTAGTGGTTTTAGCTCAGCTTTTGGGTAAAATCCCATTTTTAAAAAGACGAGAATCAATGGGGAAAGGAGGAAACCACATATTACTTCAGCTGATGATTTCTGACAGGAAGATTTGAAATAGTTAATTCAATGCTTGGTACATCTATTGCCAGTTGTGTTTAATGTTTAAAAAATGCCTCAAAATGAACAGTTTTCAATCAACAATGTATATTATAAATGGGATGTGATAGTTCTCTATCATTTCTGATCAGATTTTTTTTATCATAGCCATTTCTATTAAAGTTGACATTATTTGTCCAACAAAATGTTTAGCATGCCTTAGAAGGAAGGGTAAATATATGTTCGAAGATGATCCAGTTTCATATGCAACAGTAATACAATTCTCTAAAGTAGCCAAATGCCGTTTGGGGCAAGAGGAGTTTTCTCAACCAGTTGCATGGTTAGAATTATGTAAAATGGTCGATTTTCAGCCAAGCTGGCACCTTAGTGACCACAATGTAGTAGATGTATTCACATTGTCATATACTGCTAAGTTTGCAGTAACTTCTTGATAAATTGCAATGCATATATGTCATTCTGAACATTTTCAACTAGTGTTATATAAACTAGTTGCATTAAAAAGCAGGGTATGGGGTTACTAATAGGAGGAGTTGAGAGCATATGTATGTTTCTGTTTTCACTTTTATATTCAAGTTTCCAATTTAAACTCCCCATTTGTGGATTCTCTTATTATTGGTGAAACACATATTTATTTTATATTTTTACTCACCCTTTCCCATATAGATTGGTAGGATAGTTTGTTTCTACCACAAACATTTCAGTTTTGAAAAATGTTATTTAATACGTTACCATGCAAAGAGTGTTATTCTTCACATTGTTTCTTTGTGAGAAATTATACCTTTCACTATATAGGAGGAACTTTAGCTGAGAAAAGCATCACTGCATTCTGAAGGATACTCTGGGAGTTTATGATTGAATTGCAGTAAAGGGGCAAGAGTAATCTGGATGATAGAACATGTGGAATGCATTTCTTCAGCAGTTCATTGCTGGGCCATGATTCATACCTGCTGAGACTGTGAGAAATTATCATACTCCCCCTTCCCCCTTTTTGGACCATTGCTTTATATTTATCTCTGCTGTATAATGCATACATATTTAAGAGGTTGGTTTCTTGTCATTGTTTATGAGTCACAGATGGTTTTTGGATCATGCACAGTTTGCCCATTTATTGGTAGTGAAATGTTAACTGGAGAACTGTCCAATTGCTGGATTAGATTCAATACTTCAACAATGAAGAGTTGAAACTATGTGCTGAAGCTGACTTAGTGAATAGTTCACTCAGTTCCATGTGTTTTGCTAGCAAGGTTATGAGAATATGAAGGAGAATACTTTGCCTGTTTCTTGGATTATTGTTTTAAAGAAGGAGTAAAAGACAAAAAGAAAAAATGAATAATTTGGAACTGATTTTTATTTACTATCTATTGAGAAAAGCAGTATTTTGAAAGCATATCTTGTTCTTTGGCGTTGGTGTTGTAATAACAAAAGCTTAGGCAACATATAAATCGTTTGAATTGTGTTTTTGTATTAGTTTAATTTATTGTTTCTAATTATGAGCTGCCTTGAAATGTGTTTGTATGAACAGTGGTATAAAATTAATTGAAGAGAACCCAGTCTTGAGAAATTAGTGTGCTTAGTTGTAAAAGGTAAAAAGGTAAAGGACCCCTGGACAGTTAGGTCCAGTCAAAGGCAACTATGGAGTGCAGTGCTCATCTCGCTTCAGGCCGAGGGAGCCATCGTTTGTCCACAAGCAGTATTCTGGGTCATGTGGCCAGCATGACTAAACCGCTACTGGCACATGGAGGACCGTAATGAGTGACAGATCGCACGGAAATGCCATTTAGCTTCCCGCCATAGTGGTAACTATTTATCTACTTGCACTGGTATGCTTTTGAACTGCTAGGTTGGCAGAAGCTGGGACAGAGCAACGGGAGCTCACCCCATTGCACAGATTCAAACTGCCAACCTTCCAATTGGCAAGCCCAAGAGGCCTAGTGGTTCAGACCACAGCGCCACTCATGTCCCTCTTGCTTAGTTGTAGAAATGCATTGCACAGGGTGCTCAGCTTCTGTAACTTCTCTACAGCAGGCAAAGTACATACATGGTTTGCAGAATTCTGGGAAGCAATTGGTATGTTTAGTAAATACAGTGGTGCCCCGCAAGACGAATGCCTCGCAAGACGAAAAACTCGCTAGACGAAAGGGTTTTCCATTTTTTGAGTCGTTCCGCAAGACGAATTTCCCTATGGGCTTGCTTCGCAAGACAAAACGTCTTGCGAGTTCTTGCGAGTTTGTTTCCTTTTTCTTAAAGCCGCTAAGCCGTTAATAGCCGCTAAGCCGTTAATAGCCGCTAAGCCGTTAATAGCCGCTAAGCCGCTAATAGCCGTGCTTCGCAAGACGAAAAAACCGCAAGAAGAAGAGACTCGCGGAACGGATTAATTTCGTCTTGCGAGGCACCACTGTATATATAGGTGGATAATAGTACAAAACTTTGCATTTCTACTCAGAAATAGGTCCTTTTTAGTTCAAATACACGTATATAAGTGAGCGAGTATAGGCTTGGCATTTTAGTTAGGATAATAAAAAAGTAAATATTCTCTGCTTACCTGGTAAAATATTGTAACTGGATTCTTGTCCACCCTGACCAATCAGAGAGTCAAATACTTCAGTGATATCACCATCAATATTAATAAGTGGAATGCTTGGTATTGGAGTAATAAAGACTGGGGATTTGATTTCTTGTTGCTTGTTTAGTCTATGATTTCCTGAGGAGCTCTTTCTTAACCCTCTATAGCGCATTCTCCTCCTTGCCCTCCTACGCATTACATTGCGTTCATTCTGAACAACAGCAAAGCACAGAGAAACAAGCAGAATGTAACAGAATAGTGCTGCCTTTTGCATTTTCTCCTTCTAGTGTTGTATCCTACAGAAAACACAAAAAAGGAGTTTTCAATATTAATGGAACTGTAGGATATAGTACTGTAGAAAATGGAAAGAGTTCTCTGAAGTGGATTATGTTTGTACCCAGCTGTTGCAGTGATTATTAATGCCCACTATTTTTTGACCAGCTTTCTATAGTTTAAATTTGGCAGTGACGTGTGTGACCAAGTGCCAAGGATTTGTTCTAGCCTAAAATATCTGAAGATGTGGGATGGAGCATTGATACATTATTTTCATGATTCTCTATTGCCAGGATTCTCAAGAGGCTATTTTGTTGCTTCTCAGTGTAGGACATACTCTTTGGGATGTATCCAACTAAATCACACTCAGGGTAGGCTCGTGAAAATCTGTGGGTTATATCCAATGTTATTCATACTCACAGCAGACTCACTGAAATTGATGGTGGTGATGCCTCCGCTACAATTCTGCCTGGGACCTTGTTCATACCAGGAAAGGTCTTAGAACAGATAGTCAGTCAGTCTGTGAGGAGCTGGAAAAGGGTACTGTGTTTGCTAAAAGCAAGCATGGGCTTCTCAAAAGCAAATCATGCCAGACTAATCTTCTTTCTTTTTTTTCTTTTTTGATAAGAGTTACAAGCTTGGTGAATCAGGGAAATGGCATGTCTGTAATGTATCTTGATTTCAGTAAGGCTTTTGACAAAGTCTCCTATGATATTCTTGCAGAGAAACTGGTAAAATTTGACAAGGAGCTAGACAAGGGGGATTTGTAGCTGGTTTACTCACTGAACCCAAAGAGTGTTCACCAATGGTTCCTCGTCATCCTGGAAAAAAGTGACAAGCGGTGAACCTCAGGATTCTGCCTGGACCTGATGTTGATCAACATCTTTATAAATGACTTTGATGAAGTAATTGAGAGGATGCTTATCAAATTTGCATATGTCACCAAACTGGGAAGGGTAGCTAATACAGTGGTACCTCGAGTTACAAGTGCTTCGGGTTACAAATGCTTCAGGTTACAGTCTCTGCTAACCTGGAAGTAGTACCTCGGGTTAAGAACTTTACCTCAGGATGAGAACAGAAATCGCACAGCGGCGGCGCAGCAGCAGCGGGAGGACCCATTAGCTAAATTGGTACCTCAGGTTAAGAACATTTTCACATTAAGAATGGACCTCCAGAACGAATTAAGTTCTTAACCAGAGGTACCACTGTACCTCAGAAAATATAATCAGGATTCAATATGACCTTAACAGACTGGAAAACTAAGCCACAACTTATAAAATAGATTTAAATAGGGACAAATGTAAAGTTGTACACTTAGGCAGAAATAATCAGATGCACAAATATAGGATTTGTCCATGATGACGAGGAACCATTAATGAGTACTCTTTGGGTTCAGTCAGTCAACCTGCTATAAATCCACCTATCAGTTACCTCGTTCAACCCACATTTTACCAGCTTCCTTTAGCTTTGATTCCTGCATTGCAGGGGGTTGCACTAAATAACCCTTGGGGGCCCTCTACAATTCTATAATTCATCCATCTTCACATATAATGTAGTGACTGTCTGTGTAGTAGAAATCTTTATGCTTACAGCCCTAGCAATATGGATTCAGGTAGTTTGTGTAATGTGTCGCAACTAACCATCTTGCTTTTTTATATCTCTGTGCTTGCTCTTCAATCCACAAAGGCATTTTTGAAATAAATACAGTGGTACCTTAGGTTACATACACGTCAAGTTACATACGCTTCAGGTTACAGACTCTGCTAACCCAGAAACAGTGCTTCAGGTTAAGTACTTTGCTTCAGGATAAGAACAGAAATCATGCTCTGGCGGCGCGGCAGCAGCAGGAGTCCCCATTAGCTAAAGTGGTGCTTCAGGTTAAGTACAGTTTCAGGTTAAGTACAGACCTCTGGAATGAATTAAGTACTTAACCTGAGGTACCACTGTATTTTATATTCATTTGTATTGAGATTGGTTGGTTCTTGCTAATTCCTATGGGCATGGAAGGTAGTTTGGGCATTTCTAATGTAATTGTTTCTATTGAGTAACTCCTGGGTTCTGCAACTGAATGCTGTAAAGATCCCCAAACTGATACCTCTGTGAACATGTATTCACATATATGTGCATATAGACACGAGCAGATTTGATAACATGCCAAGTATCCTTACATAAAATCTGTAAGAAGGCAATAGCTATTCTTCATTGTGCTGGGTGTGTTTTATGGGGATGAACATGTGATCAGCTGAATCAGACTTTGCTTCCTGCCTAGCAGTAGGGAATGGAGTGCGCAACAGTGACTGGGAGCATGTTACGCACAGGAATTTTTTGAAGTTCCTGCATTGCAGGGGGTTGGACTAAATGACTCTGGGGATTCCTTCCAACTCTACAATTCCATGATTCTATTATTTGTTCCCTCTCATACCACATTCAAGAAGTAACTTCTGATTTGGCCAGCATTGCACAAATGCATCATTCACAATGTCACTGAATGCTGAGAAAAATATACTTTCCCAGGTACCATAATATTGCATTATGAATGCTGGTCATTCTTTATAGTTAGTACATTTTTGTCAGCAAGGCAGTGGAAATGGTTAATTTCTTCAACTGATCTTCATTAAAGGTACTTAGACTCTAAGCTAAATTGCATAAACATTACATTTGATATTCCAATGAACTACTGTTCAAACAGTAAAAGTAGGACTTTTACGCAATATATCTAGGAACAAGGAGTTGATAGTTATACAACACAGTTATTAATTATCATGTCATATTTTCACAGCTGTGAATATAGCTACATAGCAATTAAAACATTGTCAACACTACTATTATTCATAAAAATGGATAAACAGTACTCCACATTGCATTTTCTTTTGCTATATAACTCTGTTATTGGTGGCATTCATGCTTATTAAAATTAATGATTAAGTACATAGTACTTTCTGCAAATATATTTGACATTTGTTCTATCATATACATTTGTTCTATCATATGCAAGTACATCATACGTTAAACCTCAAATTGTTAAGCAAACGTTTACATATATTTCACATGAATCTACCAATCTTGAAGCAATAATTTAAAATGTAAATGCAATATATTACCTGGTAATCTAATCTAACAGTAGATTCTGCTTGCTGTTATTTAATCTCCAGCTGCAAAAGAAAGAAACTTCGGCTGCCTTTAAAATAAAGAAAGCAACAGTAGAATTATGTTGAAACATGTAAGATGACTCCTTAGGGTCTGAAATAGTTCCTTTCCCTGGGGACAAGGCACTGCTCTGCCCTGTGTGCAAAGATTCTGCTAATACAGCTATTGAGAATTGTGCAAACTTCACTTAGAGAAAATGAAAAGCAGCACAATACTTTAGGTCCTTAGGCTGACAAGGCACAGCTGGAAAATTTCCTTTAACAATATGCTTACATAAGGAAAAGAAAACAGGACTATTTTCAAACTTGATAATCATTTGCAGGTATTTTAATCCTGATTTATAAACATTTTAGTATTAGTTCATTGTAGGTTTATAAATTTTACAGGTCACATACATATCATAAATTTTCAGTAGAAGCACCCCAAGACCTCATTATTTCCTTACGTAATGACCAAGTTTCTCTGCTAACACTGTATCTCATTTCCCCCTCTGTGCTGCAGGCTTTATTCAGAATACAAATTCTGCTTTGTTTGAAGTAATAGATTTAGTCACAACAGAAATCTTTGCACTTTGAAAACAGAGTAACTGAAGCATTTCTTCTTGCCTTGCCATTAAAGAGTACGGTAACTAGGTCCTGAAATATGACACTTGCACATAGCTCTGTAGAAACTACAGTGGATTTTTAACCAAAAAAGGAAAGTATACATTACTCACAAGTTCTCTTTGTGCCAAAGGGGTGAAGTCTCCCATTGTTTGGCATATGTTTCTTAGTGTATCACAGTTTCAAAAATGCTAAAAAACATCTAACAGAACAAAACCTTTGAACAATCCTTTGTTTGAAGTCACATCATTTAATTTGCCATAATAGATGCTTGGAACTTGAAAGGCAGTGTCATATTAGGAAAAAAAGTATCATTCTATAATTTTGTGAAGGTTGGGGTATGCTTCACTTTAGGTCTGTTTTATGTGATCATTTATCCTTAATGAGCAATCCTAAACTCAATGATATGTAGCAAAGTCGTATTATGTCAGAGGGGAAATTTCGGTCTTCAGGCATTGTTACTATTATTGTTGTTGTTGTTATCATCATCATCATCATCATCAATATTATTAATTACACACCCTTCACCTTAAGGTCCCAGGGTGGGTGGCAACAATGAAAACTCAATGTTAAAACAGTTTAAAACTTTGCAATCACAGAAATAAGCTGGGTCCTAAAAATATACATCTAGGTGGCAGAAGCCAGAGTAAAGCGATATGCCTTCCACATTCGCCAAAAGAAGAGAAGAAGAAGAGTTTGGATTTGATATCCCGCCTTTCACTCCCCTTCAGGAGTCTCAAAGCGGCTAACAATCTCCTTTCCCTTCCTCCCCCACAACAAACACTCTGTGAGGTGAGTGGGGCTGAGAGACTTCAAAAGCTGTTTAATGAAGATGCCAGGCAGCCAGTGGCAGAGAAAGATGGTGTGGGGGGTGCGGGCCACCCTAGGTGTGATCACTGAGGGTGGGGGTGACAAAATGACAAAAATATGAGTTCTAAAAAACAATTTTTTAAAAATTGGGCTCATGAACCTTTTTAGTTCAATCAACAAACATAACGAAGCGTGGCTGGCACTGGGTGCCACAACACAGGAGCCGGCACTTACCACAGTGCCTGCAGCGTGCCCAAGCCACGCGTCTCTCCCGGAAGTGACATGGTGGATTGGGCGCCTGCAGGCTCCACGCTGCCTGAAATGGCAGCTGGGGCTTGTGTCTGCCCATCGTCTCTCCCTCAGCTGCCCTACCGCTGAGGGGGAGGTGGTGGAGAGGCTCCACGCAGCATGCCCCACCCCATGGCAGCTCACCCCACCCCCAGCTGCAGGACGTGCGCACCGCACTGGGCACCCATGTGGCTAGCTACACCGCTTCAGGCAACCACACAGGATATATGCTATGCAACCACTCTTTAAGCTTCTGAGGGTAGCGCAACAACCACTTGGGCCCCCTCTGCTGATGTTAACACCCATGAGGGTCTGCAAGGAAGAAGATAGTCTTTCAGGTATTTGGGACTGGAGTCACTAACTTGACCACTGTGAATTGGGCCTGGAAACCAACTGGAAACCAGTGCAGCTGTTTAAAAATAGGGGTTGTGTAAGATCTAAACAAAACATTGGTCAGTAATCTGGCCACTTCATTTTCATCTGATTGAAGTTTCAGAGTTATCTTCAAGGGCAGCTCCACACAAAGTGCATTTCAATAATCCAGTCTGGATACCACCAGAGCATGGAACTCAGTGACCAAGTTATTTCTGTTGCAAAGGAGCCATAGCTGGTGATCCAGCCATAGCTGGAAAAATGCAAACCCTCCTCCCCCAAAAAAGTCACCTGAGCCTCCAGTGCGTGTTAAATGCAGAAGCACCCCTAAGCGAGAGATCAGTGGAGTTCAACCTTATCCAGGGCAGGCTGTCTCCCCATCTCCCATACATAAGAACTCAGGACACATTAACAGCTCTGTCTTCTCAGGATTCACCTTCTGTTTATTGGTCCACACCCAGCTCATCACTGCTTCTAATTGGGCCTGGTATGAGCCCCAATTTGGCATACAATGCCATTTCCCTCACACCATGCCCACCAGTCCCACACCTGACATCAGGAGCTTAAAGAGCACTTCTAATTGTTCCTTTGCATCTGAGGCTCCCTGTCATTGCCAGACAACCAGTCAGAGAGTCTCACTGAGGAGATTGGAAGAAATAGTTTGGCTTCAAAGCACTTTGTCCAGCAGCTATAGTCTGAACAGCTTCCTCTTCACAAGGAAAAATGCTACATTCTTTTCCACAAGATAAAAGAAGGAGAAAAGTGAATTTAATTGCTAGGAAAGTTTTCTCCTCCTCTTCCTTGGCTCTTAAAGTATCAAGCTATGATAGATAAGGTGCCAGTTGTTACTTTGTGGGGAAATGGCTCTGTACCTAGAACGATTTCACGTGGGTAAGTACTGATGAAATTTAGTGAGGCCTTTAAATTCTCTGACTGGAAGCTTAATACGGTAGGTAGTTTGTCTGATTGCTGATTTCAGATAATTGTATAAACACTTTTTAATGAAAACATGGATAGCTTTGTTCCATGATATACCCTGCAAATACCAGAGTAGAGTGCAGATCCACCTTTTGAGAGAATGGAACGTTATAATTCTAATACTGGTGATTTACAAAAGAAAAGAAAAAACCCCAGGAAATCATAAAGTTATGGACCAGCAGTAAAAGTTATACTCCACATTCTATATTTACCCCCACCACATACCTGTGTTTGGTGAAAATGTTGTGTTCTTGGATTAAAAAAGTGAGTTATGCTTTCTGTTTCTTGGTCCAGGAAAGTGCCTCAAACCCATATGGTTTTTTTCTGCATCTGAATCATTCTTAGAAATACATTTAAATTTGTTATAGGTGTTAACAGCAGCCATCTCACTGAGGTCTGCTTGTAAACCTTAGTATGTACTGAGTACATCCCCCCCCCCCCCCGTTACCATCCTACTATTTTTACTGTCTATTTTAAAACAACTCCCAACGTGGAAAGGTGTTTAACATTTAATAGCACTTACTGTTGAGCAGCTTAACAGATATGTTGAACATTTAAAAATAAATAAATCCCGAAGGACTAAATGAGCCTCTGCTGGAATTTTAGGCCCAGCTCATACACACACTGAGGCCAACACTGAAATAGCTTGGTGGAGGGGTGGCACAAGTCCCTCCACCAGACAGCTAAGTTTCTGTATAAGCCAGTTCCTCCACACAAATAGCCAGTCATATAGAGCTGGGAACCTGTGATCCTCCAGCTGCTGTTAGACTTCAACTCTCAGTAGCCTTGACCATTGACCATGCTGGCTAGGGCTCTCTGTTCATGAATTATCTCTCCCCACTCCTGCAAAAACAAACACAAACAAATCTGGAAAGAACAAGAACTGGAAAGAATGGTGAGATTATGCCCCCTTTCACTTCCATCATGCTATTTCCACACATGCTACAGAATCAATGACTGCTCTTTTCTGCCATAGTCCTACCATTTAGCCCAACTCATGCTCATTAAAGGTAAAGGAACCCCTGACCATTAGGTCCAGTCGTGGCCGACTCTGGGGTTGCAGCGCTCATCTCGCTTTATTGGCCGAGGGAGCCGGCGTACGGCTTCTGGGTCATGTGGCCAGCATGACTAAGCCGCTTCAGGCGAACCAGAGCAGTGCACGGAAACGCCGTTTAGCTTCCTGCCGGAGCGGTACCTATTTATCTACTTGCACTTTGACGTGCTTTCGAACTGCTAGGTTGGCAGGAGCAGGGACCGAGCAATGGGAGCTCACCCTGTCGCAGGGATTCGAACTGCCGACTTTCTGATCGGCAAGCCCTAGGCTCTGTGGTTTACAGCGCCACCAGCTTAAAAACTCTAGGATGTGTATGCCTGCCCACAATAAATCAGGCAATTGTGGGATCAGCAGAAAACTGACTCTAAAACTGCACCAGTGGCTAAAAGGCAACAACTAGCACAACTTGCACTGTCAGTTAATAATAGATCTTTCCATAAGGGCTAGTTGGTAGTTTCTGATTTTAAATTATTATGTGATTATATACAGATATTTTTGAAATCTGCTTTTATATTTTCATGGTATGTTGGTATATATTTTGATTGATAGATAAATAAATAAATAAATAAATAAATAAATAAAAAACAAACGCTGAAGCCAAAGATATCAGATTAAAATCAGCTGAAGTTTGATCTCATCCACTACTGCTGCCGCATTTGCCATAGTTGAACTCCAGAATTCAATCTCACAGGAGGCAGCAATGGCCACCAATGCATGGCGCTAAAGGTTATCAGTAGCTGTTCTCTGCCTAGTGGTTGGAGGCAGTATGCTGCTGAATACAAGTTGTTAGAAACCTCAGTAGATCAGATTGTTCTTGCGCTTGGTCCTCCTTGCAGGCTTCCCATAGGCATCTGGTTGTCTGAAACAGGGCCATTGTCCTGATCCAGCAGGCTCTTCTTATGTTATTGGGGGAAATTACCCTTTGCTCCATATGGGAGTTCAAACCCATAGCAATTTATTTTTATAATAGTCAGCAAAATGCACAAAGAAGTGGCTTGGCACAGTAAACTACATATATGAAACCATGAGTAGTTGCATTCTTTTGTTTAATGAGTGGTCTCTAA